GTGTTGCTGCTTTTCATCTCTTTCATTTAAACCATCTTTTATTACCAGGAAGTCAGCTTGTATCTCTCCTGATGTGTCCTGTTTCAGGTTTTAAAGCATTACAGGGCTGGAAGATGCTTCTGGAGTCCGGATATTCCAAGTCCAGGCAAGGATTAACTCTACCTAACGCTTTCCTGACTGGTGTTTGTCTGAGTTGTTTTTAAAGACTCTCAGTGGTGGAGGCTTCACAACATATACCGTTAGAAGATTTGTCCTACTAGCAAAGTTTGATAGTGATTTACACCTACTCCTTCCTGTCCCCTTCATCATAGGCACTGGAAAAATTGTCCCCTTTCTCTTTGCAGCAGCCTTTTCTGTATTGGAAATCTGTTACGAGCTCTTCATAAGATGCTGTCTGCAGTATACCTTAATCCAGTGAATTGAACGTGGTAGAGGTACCAATTCTTATGCCAGAATTGGCTGAATGGTACAGAACTGATGGTACATGGCCTTATTTATGTATGTATTTGTTTTAATCCTGCTTAAACGCATCATGCTACGAGTACTTGCTCACTCTCTTGTCTCTTTGATCCCAGTTCAAATGTTTATGCTCGTACTTAAGTTGTCAACTCCTTAAAGCAAGACTGTCATCCTTAATGTCTGTAAAACTCCAAAGTGACTATTTATCAATAATCTTCTGTACTTCTCTCCAGTAGAGCTAGACGTGTGTTGGAAAGATACAGGGATGCCCTCAGTTCTTGCCTGTCAAGTTGTGTGCGCGGCATGGGGGTCATACCCGTGCAGCTCTGCAGTGAGCATCTGAAGCAGCAGAACTGGATTATATTAATCTTATTGTTATGGTTTCTCAACAAGAAAGTAGCTAATCACCATGATTTAGTGAGACCACAGAAAGAGGGTTGTGTTTTAAAGCCGTGAATGCTCGTGTGATTGCCTTGTAACACAGGCTGGAGTTATAGCCAGTACTTGCTTCATCCAGCCCATTTTCTATACTGTAAGTGAGAATCTACTAAAATTATAGCTTAGCTTTATTCTGTCTTTATGCTCATCTCTTCCATGCTTTTCCTTTTGTGTCATTTTTATGAATTTGTGCTAACAAAATTGTGAAGTAGTGCACCCTTGTTTGCAAATGAGAGGAAGTAACGATGTGAAATCACTTAAGTAATTGTAGTTCATATGTGGTAGATGTTAGACTGTACTGTAGATCTTTTGATTCCCCTGTTTTAAGCTGTAAATGCTAAAAAAGAAACACTTGCTGTCCAAAGAGGAGGGAAACTTCACTGAATTTATCCAAGCTCCTTCTATTGCTTATGTACTGGCAACCATTGAGAGTGTTATATCTTGCTTTTCGTCCCAGAGTAGCACAAGAGATGCAGTTTTTCTTTTTAGGCCTTAATCCTTCAAGCTAAGTTCTTCAATCTGCAAAGATATTTGGGTTTCAAACTCATTTGATTTTATGAAATGTCTAAATACCATTTGTTTTCTCGCTCCTACTGTTACCAAACTGTTTTCACATTGTGACGTGAATCATTTTTATATATAATTGACTGCTATACCTTATTTTTTCCTTCACTAAATAGCTAGACCTGAAAGATGTTCTGAGAGTATGATGCATTATAGATGCAATCCTGATCCTGCAAGAATCAAGGGAACCAGGATGTCACTCTATAGGTTTATTGTACTAACTTAATGATTAAATCAGCATTGTTTTTTTTAAAGTGAAGAAAGCAGGCAGAAAAAAACTGCTAGTACTTGCTGTGCTTTATGTCCTTCAAAATATTTTCCATACATTGAACCAATTATATAAACAGATGATATTTACAGGTGACTCCTGGCTACAAATGACCTTCATCTTTTCCTGTGAACTTCCCAGCCTCTCCTTCAATTTTCGTATTGTTTCCTCTTAATCACTTCGCGTTTCACACCGTGTTTCCAGCAGTCCTCTTCTCTTGCATGGGACCATTCTGCCACTTCCCTAGAGGCCAGTATTCACAGCTCCTTTTAACTTCATCCTCTCCACCTGATTTCCTTGGCAATTGTGGCACCTCATAGCTTGGGGAAAGAAATCTCCTCCAAAGTCCAGTCTTCATACCTCCAACCTGTTACAGCATGATCGCTCCTTTCCTTTTTCATGATCATCAGTTTTTTGGGGCAGGAGTGTTGCTTTCTATTATCCTGTAAAACTAATTGCTGTTCAGAGATTAAAAAAAAAAACAGTACACATTTAGTATGTATACCTTGTTTTTCTTTGTCGAGTCCTCTGTGCGTGTGTGCATGTGTGTTGGGGCAGACAGTGAAGGAATTGCCTAGAACTGTCTCTCTCCTGTCGAGAGGTCAGAGAAAAACCATGTTTAGAGTTCAACAGTGTTCCCATGGCTACTTGGACAGGTACATCACGGGAGGGGGAACACTTCTGGTATTTAACAGCCCTTCCAGATGATTTATGGTTTTGCATAAGCTTTTCCTAAACTGAGAGGTTTTCTAGGGTTGGCACCTCCTTGCTTGTCTCCATGCCCTGCTAGTTCTGTGTTCAGTGGCCCATGGTTATTAAAATTCTTATCAATACAGGAGTTTCTGAGTAGGGTTCTTGTTTTCTGGGATCATGCATACCTTCTGAACTCCTCAGCTTAACCAAAGGAACGTTTTTCTATGCCTAATGTATTTTATAAGAGAAATGTGTAGAGTTCAAGTAATATTTGCCTTCAATTACAGTAATTAAGTTGTCAGAACTGGAACTCACCAAGGGATTGAGAAAATCCTTTCCTGGTTGGCCAGAGGGTAATTGGTCTTCTGCTTGCAAGTACATTTTATGTACTGGGGTGGGGAGCTAGACAGTTCTGGCTGGCATCTATGGCAAGAAACCTGGGAGACTGTTTGTCATTTTGCAATACAAGGTGTCAAAATCCTCCTGTGGGTAGAAGAAAAAGCAAGTGACCTGTTTAAGTTTGCTTTAGCAGGGCATCTATTTTTGATCCGCACTAATGCTGCTTGCCTGGGCCTGGGTTGGGACATGTATCTTATTTAAAAGACAGCAACTATAAACATAGCTCAGACCATTTATTTTGTGGATTCTATCTTGTCAAACTTCTGCTGCAGCTCTCCTTTCAAATGTAGACTCCATATATATGTGTGTGTGTGTGTGTGTGTGTGCACATAGATACATATATTTTTTCCCTGTGTTCAACATTTCTTTGCAGAATTTTTTGATGGAAGTCAAATAGTTTCAGTTACTGCATAAACTTAATTCAAGATACCCTACAAGGTAGTCGTAGAAGAAAAGTACCTAATTTTTGTAAATGCCCACACAAACATTACTGGAATCTCAAGTGTAGCATTACTTTCGTTCCACTGGAATAGCTCTCTTGAAAGCAGATGTATGAGGAAATCGCTACTCTTAATGCATCACTAATGACACAGATTTTTTCATTCCTGC